TGGCCCATGATATTTACATGTACTTTTTTAATAAGATGAAGAAAAAATATGGTTAAGAAATTTGAGAGTTGTGTGTACAGTAAAGTATCAACAGAACTCAATTATCCAAGGATAACAAAATTAAATAACTTCTTAAGAATATTAAGTTCCAGGGGACTAGTTGGATGAGGAATTGGTAATGTGATAGTCTTTCACCTCTAGGTTACCAGTTGAAATTCAGATCAGTTGTGATCAAAAGTGGTAATTCATAGATTCCAAGGCCAGAGGGGACCACTGTGATCTTTTAGTCTGATCACCTGTATAACACAGGCCACAGAAATTCCCCCAAAATAATTCCTAGAGCATAACTTTTAGAAAAACATTCAATCTTATTTTAAAAATGGTCAGTGATGGAGAATCCACTATATCCCCTGGTAAATTATTCCAATAGTTAATTTCTCTTACTGTTAAAAATTGACACCTTATTTCCAGTCTGAATTTGTCCAGCTTCAACTTCCAGCCATTGGATGGTGTTATATCTTTCCTTGCTCGACTGACAAGCCCATTATCAAATATTTGTTCCCTGTGTAGCTACTTACAGATTGTGATCAAGTCACCCCTTAACCTTCTCTTTGTTGCTAAGTAGATCAATCTCCTTAAGTCTATCCCTATAAGGCACATTTTCTAATCCTTTAATCATTCTCCGAACCACCTCCAATTGATCAAGGTTTTGTCAATATTTATCAAGCATTTAACCATATTTTGGATGCCTGAAGTCCTATGTTTAATGAGTTTGTAGTTTCAAGCCAATGCCTAAGTGTCAAGTACTCATATCACAAAACCAGTAACACTGTCACTAACTGATTCTCTTCCCTAACGGTGATTTCTCCAAGGTGGGACTGACGTTCATTAGCATGGAGAAGTTTGTGTAGCTAATGCATGTGGTACACCTATCCTCTATACTTCATTCTCCTGTGCTCCTAATCCAGGTCTTTTCAATTAATTCACTTAAAACAGAGAGAAATAAAAAATAGTTCACTGGAGAAAGGGATGCTTTTCTGCTCTTGATACAAAAGCATAGCTCACATTAGCTCTGAGAGGTTAGTCAGCAATGAAACGAGACACCAACCAGGTGAATCCAAACTATAAGTGAGTTTGACTTGAGAGGACGTGTGAGGGGATGCACATACTCCACACTAGACTAGGCAGGGAAGGTACTAAGTTCTTGCAAAGGGAACCAGGCAGAAGGCTCATCCTGCCTTGGAGAACCTGCTGTGCCTCCCAGTTAAAGAGACAATGCAGGATTCTCCACAGAACAAAGTGGCCTTCATCTGCACCAAAATCCACAGTGCATCCCTGCTGGCATACTGTCTTCTCCATCAGCTATTCCCAATGCCTCCTACATAACAGGGAGGAGGGAAAGTTGCGAGGATGGGAGGCAGCGTGGCAGAGCTGAGCTTTGCTAAGCCCTTTCTTCCACTGGCATATTGCACCCATGCTCACAGCATAAGTTAAAGCTGAATCTTCCTGCTATAATTTACATCGGATGCAGGCAGCCTAGAGAGTTGCAACTGGCTCCCTGCTACCACCTCTCTCCAATACATCTGAGCATCGCGTGGACATGCTGAAGAATCAGGGCCATAGAATTTATACCTGGGCTCATCAAGGCACGTACTTCATCCAGAAGAGGACAAAGACTGAGGTACTTTCAGAGGGAGGCAGGCAGTGTCTTGTCCTATCCATCTGCCCCACACTTGAGGAGACAACCAAGCCAGGCAGCTACCAGAACTGATTAACAATGGGCAACTTGCTTGTCCTGAAATAAGGACTCCTTTACTCCTACCAGAGGAGCTGTATTTACTCCTCACCCACCCAGGGAGATCAACGCTGCTTCCCTGCTAATGAGTGGAACACTGCATCGGAGGTTCTGGAACAAGACTCCTTTAACCTTGCCAGAGGACTACATTTACCTCCTTTGTAAATGCTTTGAGATCTATGGATGAAAGGCGCAATAAAAGAACTATTACACTGATTATGTACTAAAAACACTTACCTAAGTCTTTATTTACTTTATTTTGATTACCCATGGCTGTAGCGAACCTGCCAAGGGTTGGCAGCAGAATCTACCCAGGAAACAAGGTGGCGGGAAAACTGTGACTTAACCTTCTACAAACTGACTGAATAGGGTGACCAGATGT